TTGTCACCACACACACTTGACACCATCTGAACCAAATCAGTTTATCTTGGTCTCATCAGACCACAGTTCAATGTTCCAGTAATCCATGACCTTAGTCTGCTTGTCTTCAGAAAACTGTTTGCGGGCTTTCTTGTGCATCTTTAGAAGAGGCTTCCTTCTGGGACAACAGCCACGCAGACCATTTTGATGCAGTGTGCTGCATATGGTCTGAGCACTGACAGCCTGACCACCCACCTCTTCAACCTCTGGAGCAATGCTGTCAGCACCACGGTGAAGCCTGTTCTGAGTGGAACCTGTTAAACCACTGTATGGTCTTGCCCACCGTGCTGCAGCTCAGTTTCAGGGTCTTGGCAATCTTCTTATAGCCCAGGCCATCTTTATGTAGAGCAACATTTCTTTTTTTCAGATCCTCAGAGTGTTCTTTGCCATGAGGTGCCATGTTGAACTTCCAGTGAGCAGTATGAGAGAGTGAGAGCTATACCACCAAATTTAACACACCTTCTCCCCATTCCAACCTGAGACCTTGTAACACTAACGAGTCACATGACGACACCGGGGAGGGAAAATGACTAATTGGGCCCAGTTTGGACAGTTTCATTTAGGAGTGTATTCACTTTTGTTGCCAGCGGTTTAGACATTAATGGCTGTGTGTTGAGTTATTTTGAGGGGACAGCAAATGTACGCTGTTATACAAGCTGTACACTCACTACTTTACATTGTTGCAAAGTGTAATTTTCTTCAGTGTTGTCACATGAAAAGTTACAATAAAATATTTACACAAATGTGAGGGGTGTACTCACTTCTGTGAGATAGAGTGTGTGTGTTCCACCTTCCAACACTGTGCATACAATGATTGGGTACCGCAAAATCTTTGCTGAGTGGAAAGAGAGTTAGCAAAGAAGTGGGCTATTCCTGGAGTTGATCTTACCATAAATAAACATCCCACTGTGCCTACTGAAGATGTTCCTGCTTTTAAAGATTCTGCAGATAGCAAGTTCAAAATGCTCCTAAAGACACTCTTTAATCTTTCAGGACCTGTCCTGAAATCAGCTTTTGCTGCAGTTTCAGTATATCAAACTGCAGCTACCTAAACTAGGACAAGGAAAAACCAACATGACCCTGTATTTCAGTATATTCTGTTACAGAGCAATTGGCACCATCTGCTCTGTTTTTCTGTGTGCATGCCCCAGAACATTTCCTGAGGCAAATTGCCAGAATGGCTCCAATCTCCATTTACATGCGCAGAGCTTTAGGCTTGGACAGCTGAAGCTGCCTGCAAAAAGTGCCTCACATTTCCCCAAACCTATCAAAGGTCACTAGAGAGAGGTTTTACTTCTAAAAAGGAAGATTCCAAAAATCACTGCTTCAGCCCCTAGCTCCTCAAAATGCCGAACACCTGTTCACTCTACTTAGGCTTAAACTGTGGCTCAAAAGCCTAAATTTAGCCCCTCCTTTCTGCACAAGGTTTAAAAGAAAAAAAAAAAACTACTAGATGCTTAGAATGCAGGTTAAGCTAATTTGTGCACAGTGCAGATACCTCTTTGCAGGTGCAAGAGAGTCTTTGGTCTTATGGCAGCCACCTTCAAGGTCATCCCTTTCGCTTTTTTCCTTAGAAGGGCTGTGCAGATAGGCATTCTGTCCTGGTGAAACAAGTTACCCTTTTTTTCCTGGAAATGAAACCACTCCTATGACCACAGAAAAGGGCTTCTTTTTTGTGGTGGTGCATTTTCCTGGGTATCTCCTTCTTTCAAGTGAAATGTCCTTATCAAAGACATAAGCCTCTCTGGTTGGAATGGTGTAGGTCCCTGACAAAGGCCAGTTTCTCCATTAATCTGTTGGAACTGTGTGCATTATGGCTGTCCCTGATTCATTTGTCCTTTTGGAATGCCATTCAGTACAAGGAGGTCAAACTTATTCTCAGGTGGGCATAACAGTGAAGTCTTTCACATTCTTGGCACACAGAACTGGAGTTTATTCAATTTTGGAGTGGTGGTAAATGCAGGACTTGGATCTGATGGGCATTCCATTTCAACCGAAAACTGGACAGGTTTGTTGCAAGATCCAAGGATCCACCGGAAGATGCTGTGGGATCAATACACTCTGATTTATGTTTTTCTTCCTGTCATCCTTGCTGCTCCAGACTGGCTCTGGTGGTCTGGTATTCATATCTGATTTATCTAGTTGAAAAGGACCCTTTGCAATTGTATGATTGGCCTAATCTACAATCCCAGGGTCCATTCCTGCATCCTATCTTTTAGTCAATGGATCTAACAGCATGGCTGCTGAAGCTCACGTGCTGAGACAGAGGCAGTCATTCCCACCATACAGGGTTTGCAAATCAACGTTTAGTTGGGTTTACCACTATACAGTGCATCCAGAAAGTATTCACAACGCTTAACATTTGCCACATTTTGTTATGTTACAGCCTTATTCCAAAATGGATTCAATTAATTTTTTTCCTCAATATTCTACAAACCATACCCCATAATGACAATGAAAGAAGTTTAGTTTTGAAATCTTTGCAATTTATTAAGAATAAAAAAAAACGAAAAAAAAAACCACATGTACATAAGTATTCACAGCCCTTTGCCAGGACACTCAAAATTGAGCTCTGGTGCATCCTGTTCCCACTGATCATCCTTGAGATGTTTCCACAACTTGAGTGGAGTCCACCTGTGGGAAATTTAGTTGATTGGACATGATTAGTAAAGGCATAAACCTGTCTATATAAGGTCCTACAGTTAACAATGCATATGGGAGCACAAACCAAGCCATGAAGTCCAAGGAATTGTCCGTAGACCTCTGAGACAGGATTGTATCAAAGCACAGATCTGGGGAAGGGTACAGAAAACTTTCTGCAGCATTGAAGGTCCCAATGAGCACAGTGGCCTCCATTATCTGTAAATGGAAGAAGTTTGGAACAACCAGGAATCTTCCTAGAGTGGGCCGCCTGGCCAAAATGAGCAATCGAGGGAGAAGGGCCTTAGCCAGGGAGGTAACCAAGCACCCGATGGTTACTCTGAAAGAACTCCAGCTTTTCTCTGTGGAGAGAGGGGAACCTTCCAGAAGAACAACCATCTCTGCAGCGCTCCACCAATCGGCCCTGTATATCAGAGTGGCCAGATGGAGAGCCGCTCCTCAGTAAAAGGCAAATGGGAGCCCGTCTGCAGTTTGCCAAAAGGCACCTTAGGGACTTTCAGACCATGAAAAACAAAACTCTGTGGTCTGATGAATCAAAGATTGAACTCTTTGGCCTGAATGCCAAGCGTCATGTCTGGAGGAAACCAGGCACTGCTCACCACCTGGCCAATACCATCCCCACAGTGAAGCATGGTGGTGGCAGCATCATGCTATTGGGATGTTTTTTAGCGGCAGGAACTGGGACACTGGTTAAGATTGCAGAAAAGATGAATGCAGCAATGTACAGAGACATCCTTGATGAAAACCTGTTCTAGAGCACTCTGGATCTTAGACCGGGGCAACGGTTCATCTTTCAACAGGATAACGACCCTAAGCACACAGCCCACATAACAAGGGAGTGGCTGCGGGCCAACTCTGAATGTCCTGGAATGGCCCAGACTTGAACCCAATTGAACATCTCCGGAGAGATCTGAAAATGGCTGTGCACAAAGCACAACAAAGTTTTGAGCAAAGGCTGTGAATACTTAGTTACATGTTTTGTTTTTTTTTTTTCGTTTTTTAATTTTAATAAATTGCAGAGATTTCAAAACTAGCTTCTTTGACGTTGTCATTATGGGGTATTGTTTGTAGAATGTTGAGGAAAAAATTAATTTAATCCATTTTGGAATAAGGCTGTAACATAGAATGTGGCAAAAGTTAAGCGCTGTGAATACTTTCTGGATGTGCTGTAGCAGAAAGCCGTACTTCAGGTTATGCAAATCCTTTGGTTTCCACCCTTGTTCTTTTCTGTCTGTAGGTTACTGTCCTTTTTTACAGATGGACTAGACCGCATTTGAAGTGCCCAAGGAACTTCCTTAATTTGCCGGGATTTCCTTCCATTTCCTGTTTGGCTGTGGGACAGGAAGTGAAGAGAAATCTCCACAATGGGACACAGGAGGCAAATAAGAAAAACCTGACTGGTTATAACCCTCCCATATCTATCCAAAATGGGGGGGGGGGGGGGAAAGGTTTGCCTATAGTCCTACTTTATTGAATGAAGGAGAAACTTGGATTTTTATACTCACTCTAAATCCCATTTTGGAAATGTTTTTGAGTAACACAGTTCCTTCTTCACTGTGTTTTTTTTTTTTTTTTTTTTTTTTTTTCATTTGCTTGTTTCATTTTTTAATTTTTGGAACACTTTCACCTTCCACTGTTATTTCTGTTTTGTTACTGCTTGCTACGAATAAGCTATACAGGTACTGGGGTATAGCAATCAGAGAAAATTGGCCCCTTATTTTATTTTCACTTAGTGTATGGTCCTGCTGCAGGTTGTAATATACCTACATGCATATAACTCTAAGATACCGTGTCTCTTAGTGGACATCAGAGAATAGGATTTTAAGCGGATATGATAGGGTAGGAGATAGGATATCTCAACTGCTATGTTTTATTAGATGTAAGGTCTCCTTACATTTTGCAAGCATCCTGTAGGTTTGCATCAAGCTTTGTTTTGGTAACAGAAGCACATTTTATAAACCAGTGAAGGTGACATTCATCAGAACATTTGCTGTGGGTGAAAGTCACTGTGATTTAAGACACATGCACCAGAAGATTAACTTTTCATAAAGTTTGCTGAAAGTCACATTCACTGCTTTAAAAAATAGTGTTGGTAGCTTAGTGACGTCAAGGAGACATTTCTAACCAGCCAGTTAAATTAATTGACTCTTTCCCTATAGACTTTGCATTTTATAACTGATGACTTTACATTGTAAATTTAACATGTTAATGGAACAGATTCTTTTCATATCTACATTTATGATTTTAGCCACAGTATTTTTGTTTTGCATTTATGTGGCAGTATTTTCTTTATCTTGATCTTCTAGTTCCTGGCCTAGGTGGTATGCAGCCTACTCCAGCTGTTGGACCACCATTTAACCAGCCACCTGCTTCGGCTATGGCCCAAGGACAAGCTTCCAAGATGGTTGTCTCTACCGCATCTTTAATAACGCCATCTTCTCAACCCAGTCTAGTCTCTACAGTAACTACAGGGCCTGGACCAGCACAAGGGCCGTTGTCGCAACAGCCAGCTCAGCAGCAGCCAGTCCCACCACAGATGGTATTGCAAACATTGCTTATGCTACCTGTATTTTAATTGTGTTTTCTTTAGGACACATGTTATCGTTTGGGAAATATTTATTCTACGTTCAGGGGAGTCCTTGTGACAAGTTTCCTGTTGAATTTTTTTAAAGAGTCTAACTCTTCAGAGCCTAAATATTTTGAAATGATATACTGTATTTTCCGGCGTATAAGACGACTTTTTACCCCTTGAAAATCTTCTCAAAAGTCGGGGGTCGTCTTATACGCGGGGTAACGGCATGCTGACACTTTTTAGGGGGGCGGCGCGGTGCCGCCGCCCCCCCCCCCCCCTCCAACAGAAGGAACACTAAGTACAGGGGTGGGCAGGGGCTGCTGTCTCTTACCTGGCTCCGGTCCCACGACGATCCGGTCCAGGAAGCGCGGCTGCTCCTTCCTTCGGTTCGTCCACTGGATGTTCGCGCGGCTGCTCGGCTCCGCCTTCTCACCGGTGATTGGCCGCCAGAACTGTAGCTCAGGATAGGCACACAGGCAGCCAATCACCGGCGAGGAGGCGGAGCTGAGCGGCCCCGCGAAAATCGAGTGGAGATGCAGGCAAGTGTGCCGTGCTTAGGTGCTGCTGCAACCACATATGCTGGCTGCAGCAGCACCGTACTGGAACAGGGGTCAGCAAGTGTCAGTGGGAGGAATAGTGCCCCATCGTTGGTGTCACTGATACCAATGATGGGGCATTATAACTCCCACTGACACCAACGATGGGGCACTTTTCCCCCCCCCCACTGACACCAACGATGGGGCACTATTCCTCCCCCCCCCCCCCCCACTGACACCAACGATTGGGCACTATTCCTCCCCCCCCCCCCCCCCCCACTGACACCAATGATGGGGCACTATTCCACCCCCCCCCCCCCCCCGACACCAATGATGGGGCACTATTCCACCCCCCACTGACACCAATGATGGGATACTATTCCTCCCACTGACACCAATGATGGGATACTATTCCTCCCACTGACACCAAAGATGGGGCACTATTCCACTGACACCAATGATGGGGTGCTATTCCCCCAATGATACTAATGATGGGGCACTATTCCTGCCACTGATACTAATGATGGGGCACTATTCCTCCCACTAATACCAATGATGGGGCACTATTCCTCCCACTGACACCAATGATGGGGCAGTATTCCTCCCACTGACATCAATGATGGGGCACTATTCCTCCCACTGACACCAATGGGGCACGATTCCTCCCACTGACACAAATGATGGGGCACGATTCTTCCCACTGGTGTGCACTGGAAGAGGGGTAGTCTTATATGGCGAGTATAGCCCAAACACTACATTTTAAACAGGAAAAGTAGGGGGTCGTCTTATACGCCCAGTCGTCTTATACGCCGGAAAATACGGTAGGTATAAATGAGTGATTTCTTGGGTAAGGTTTACACTTTCCATGTGTGCAACATTTTCAAGCCCTCAGTATATTATGTCTGAGAAAACAACTAGACTTCTATAATAGATTGGAAGCTTTATTATGAGCCATGAGTTTGGCAGATTTTGTAATCTGAACTCAACTAATTTCCTTTCCGTTTTCTCAGCTGGCTAGATCTAATGTTTGAAAAAGCTTATGGTAAATTGTGGATTTCTGTCTCTCCTATTGTCAAAGTTCCTGGAAGACACACACAAACACAGTAGGGCCCAGTTGGGTGTAAAGGACATCAGCTGGCATACCCAGGGGAAATTTACATAAACCTTGGCAGAATGTACTTAGTACCTGTAGACATAGTGTACATTGTGCGATTTGAACCCAGGACACCAGTATGGTTAGGCTAGCAGCAGGGCTCATCCGTCAGGTGGAAGCATTTGGGCGACAGCCAACTATGGTGCCAGCCACCCCCCCCGCCATGTCTTCGGGGCTCTGCTTGCCCGTCTGTGGGAATGGGACTAGTTCAGTGGATGCTGGTAGGAGAGGGAGGAGAGCGGACACATCTAACCCCGAAGTGATGTGACCTCACTTCCAGGTCTCCATTGACAGATTCCCTGCCATTGAGGCCAGGAATGAATGTAATGCAGTGCGATGAACAGTGCATTACATCCAATTTAGTACAGGGGAGACATGCAGAGTCTTTTAGACCCTGGATGTCTCAAAGAGAACCTGTCAGCAAAAATCTTCACATAGGGGACTTTTTGATGAAAAAAAAAAGTTAAATAAAATCTTTTTTTTTAAAAAATTAAAGTTACACTCAATCATATAACCCACCCCAAAATTTTTCGAGGCCCCCACATATGTACGCATGCACGCACGCATAAACTTAAAAGCTTGCGCTGGGCTGCCTACACATGAAAACGACGATTGCGATACACATCACCTTGCACACCAAAATGAGAGCAATAATTCTAGCACCAGATCTCATCCGTAACACTAAACTGATGGCCTATAAGGGGCTTTAAAAGTGTCACCTATAGAAAATATAGGGTACTAAAGTTTGTTGCCATTTCATTAGCGCACACAAATTTAGGGTTTGACATGTCAGATGTCTCTATTTACTTGCTGCAAACTTGTCTTTTTATATTTTACAAAAAAATTGGAAAATGTATTGCTTTTTGCGCCCTAAAATCAACTTGTTCAACTCAAGTGTGTTTTTTTTCTGAAATTTCTCATTTCCTAGACCTTTGTGATAATATTGTGCAACATAAAAAATTTGGAACTACTGCTATTTTATTCTCTAGGGTCTCTGATTTCAGAAAATATATAATGTTTGGGAATTTTGTGTAATCTTCAGGCCTTAAATGATTTTTTAAACGTGTGCAAAAAACAGCTCTGGCAGCAAAAGGGATAACGTATTAGCCCGACACTCCCCTTTCCTGACAAGCACCCAGGCAGTGCTCATTACACTGCAAGGTCTGTCTCCTCCCTGCTAGTCCCCGGTTGCAGAGCTTGAGACAGGCAGGGAGGGGAGGAGGAGATCAACAGCGCAATGTTAAAAATATTAAATGTTTGTCGACATAAAGCCCCTTTTTTGTTTTTAAAAGCCCCAGACATTACTTAACCCCTTTTACGTTGGCAGCACACAAATGTGCGGCCTCCAGACGTCTAGGCCTGGACGCCAGGCGGCCGCACATTTACGTTCATGCAAGAAAACATATGTGCTGAGAGCATGCTCCCAGCACACATGTCCGGTACTCACGGAAAGGTCCCGGTCTGCTCTTTCGATCGGGACCTTTCCCGATCATGTGACCGCCGTGACGACGCCGTGGATCCCTAAACCACGCCCCACCCACCCTGCCTCCCGGCGTCTGAAACTCTTAAAGGGCTGGGAGGCGCCAGCGGGAAGGGGTTAAAGCACCTCCAAATTTAAATACGGTTTTGGTTAAAAGAAAAAAAAAAATAAAACATTTTATCAGGACAAGTAGATTGTCTTGAGGGACAAGTAGATTGGGACCCCGATTTAGTCTTTGGAAAAGTAGCTTTTTCAAAAATGTCCACACCCCTGAAAATGAAAGGAGCACCAGACAAAAAGATAAGTCTAAATTAATTTATTGATATTGTGTTAAAAGACAGCCAACTTGTTTCAGGGGTCAAAGGAACTCCCCTCTTCATCAGGGCTTCAGCTAAAAATGAGAACCTTGAGTGGACTCAAACTAAAGGCTTCCCTGTTTGAATCTGTGCAGGAAAGCTGATTGCTGGATTAGGATTGCTGGCCAGCAGTTGTCTGCATCAGCAGTCAAATTAAGAAGAAATGTGTTGGTCGTCTTTTAACGCAATATCAATAAATGAATTTGGACTCTTATCTTTTGGTCGGGCGCTCCTTCCATATATGCATGTTTTTTTCTGTTAAATAAATTACACTGTCTTAACTTGATTACAGGTGATGGGTTACAAAAATAGCATTTTGTTCTCTGCATCATTCCAGGAAGTCCACTCCTTATTATGGTGTCATGTCATATCACACTGTAGACCGCTATGTTTGTCAGTGATGATATGACATGACCCTGCATGAGTCTTCCAGGAAATCAGTATAGTTGAGCTGCTTATATGCAGCTTTGATCAATGACTTATTGACTGCATTGTACCTTCCAAATTTGACAAGAACCCTAAAGACAGAATATATGCTTGAACTGAGTGGTAACCTAATTGCCGCTAATTTTATTTCTCTATAGTCCGACTCTGAATTCTATTTTTGGTTGTAGTGCAGTCTAAACTAGTAATTTATGAAAATTTATATATATAAAATTAAATATTTACTTTTCATTACAAGACAGGTTTACTTGAATCATGATAAAAATTGTAGTTGACCTTTAAATCTCTATGTGCTTCTTTCAGCCTGGTACAGGAGGACCCGGTGGCGTACCAGCACAACAGCCTGCTGCACCGCAGATTGGAGCTCCACAGCTGCCTGCCACACAACAATCTGTTGCGAACAAAATGCTTGCATGGAGTGGTGTTCTGGAGTGGCAAGAGGTGAGTCTTGTTAGAAAAAAAAAAAGCCTTCTTTAAAATGTTGGCAAAACATTTGTGAATTTCTCATCGTAACGTACAGAATAGGACACAGACTGAATATTCATAGACTCTGGGTTATAGACTAGTACCTTCAATTGATTGGGCACTTTTAAGTTTTGGGCACCAGTTAAAAAGAAAAGGTTATTAAGAAATTGGAGAAAGTTCAAAGAGCGACCAAACTAATAAGAGCACTATTGCAACCAACTTCTGCCAAGATACCTTTTTAAAATACTCCACTTCCTACCACCCTTTTACCACGAGGACTTTACTACAAAACGGTTGACATCCTGGTTGCTTCATACTCCTTCACAGACAGGCTTACCCTGTTTCTGTACACTGTGTGAGTAGCCCACAGGGCAGTACACTCAGCGATAGCAGTGGTAAAAACCAGGCACAAGGGAACCACAGTGAAAGCTCAAGTAAACATTCACTCTACCGAAGGTCTGCAAAACGCCTAAACTTCTGAGAGTGATGATTCTTCTCTAGTATGGAAGCAGGATACTATTTTAACACCAATCTTTGCATCCAAATTCAGCTCTGCCCCAGGCACGCCAAAAGCGTCCTACCTGACCAAGGCAGATTTTCTGCAACTATGTCAGACTTCCTCGGACAACTATCGGCCTTAAAACATCCATTACTGTCCAGACCACAAAAGCTCAAAACTCCTTCTCCACCCCTGTTGTTTGCCAGAATTGGAAAGTGAAATGCCTCCCCTAGAGGACACAGACATTTACGGGAATGAAGAGAACCCAGATACATTGTTAGAGGAGGCTCTGATATATTGACCCCCAGCCTCTCAAATACCTGATGTTATTGCACAATATGTTTGCAAATGTAGATATGCTCATATGCTCACTTCTGCTGTGTGCAAAAGGTTAACCCCTAAAAGTTTTTCACCCCTCCAAGAATTATTGCCAAACTCTATGTAGTGGAAAGAGTTCACTAAAACGTGGTCTCCTCCAATAGTAGACCCTGTCATCTTAATCAGATTTGGCACACCTTTTAAAGGCTTTCTTTAAACTCATAGTCCCCGGCTGCAGCTGGCTATTACTGTTTACCAGACCACAGCTAATTTGACTAGAGCAATAAACCACCAACAGGATCTTGTCTTCTAGGACTGACCCTTTGCAAAAGGGTTTCAAAAAGAAGTGTGTCCCACCACTCTCCTCAGACTTAATCAATCCTCCCTTTTGGCTCAAGACTTGTAACACAAAACCTACGAAGTCCAAGCCAAAACCCTCTAAACAATGAAGGGGCACCCTCATTCTTAAGAGTTGGGGGGACATCTGCCACAGTTTGTGTTTCTCTATATCACACATCCCAAGCCTCTGGGTTCAATTGGTGGTTTCAAAGGGCTGCAAAATAGAGTTCAAAACTCTACCTCCTCATCGTTTTCTTCTCTTAAACCAACTAAAATCTTCTCAAGGACAGTCGGGTCTGCAGACCACTCTGAGCCGTCTTTTTTTTTTTTTTTTTTTTTTTTCAGGGAGTGGTCATTCTGACCCTACTGGAGGACAGGTTCAATGGACTCTATTCAAATTTGTTTACGTTACCAAAACCCAACACAGGTATTTGTCCTATCCTGGGCCTAAAATCTCTAAACAAGTACCTTCACATTCCTAAGTTTCGCATTAAATCTGTGAGGTTGTGTATTGCCTCTCTGAGTCAAATTGAATACTTAGCATCAATAGACCTCCAAGATGCTTATCTACATACAGTATTTCCAGTTACCTGCCTCATAAGCGCTTCCTTCACTTTGCAGCAGGGAAAAAATTTTTAAATTTCTCGCACAGCCGTTTTGCATATCCTCTGCACTCAGAGTATTTACAAGGGTACATGCACCTTCTCTGGCCTTTTTAAGAACTCAGGGTGTTCAGATAACAGGGTACCTAGAGGGCTTTTTACTGAAGGTCTCTCTTCCCCTTCAACTGTCTGTAAACATTAAAAGGATTATTCACATGCTTCAGGTCTTTGGGAGGGTAATCAGCTTTCAAAAGTCTGCTCTTAAACCTTCCCTCTGCCTAGAATACATCTAGAAAACTAAATCCTCTCTCTAAAATCTCATGCTTAGATCTTAAAGATCAAAAGACTTACCTCTGTGAGATTCTTTGAGAGTCTGGGCCCTCATGGTATCTTCATTCGAGGACATCTTCTTTGCCCAATTCTGTTCAAGGCCTCTCTAATGTGAAATCTTGTGGCGGCGAACAAGCACACGCCATCTCTCACCCTCTGTTTCCCTTCAGCCAAGCAAGGAACTTCCTAGTCTGGTGATTTTCCAATCCAGCCTTGACCATGGGAATGTTATCACCCATGAAGGGTGATAACAAAAGAATCCAACCTGTCAGGCTAGGAGGAGTTCAGGGATCATGATCACCCAAAGAAGCCAAGCTCCCCATCAACATCCTGGAGATCAGTGTGATAAAACTAGCTCTAAAGCTGGCCATACATGGATTGAAATTTGACTGGCTCAGCAAGGACTGGAAGAATTTTAATCCATGTATGTGCACCCTGGTTGTACAGAAGGCAATCTACCAATCAACTTCTGTGCAAACAGCCTATCGGATAAATTCTGCTTGACTACCTTCCCCACTGTCAGAACACAATAACTTGGTGGTAGCTATGTGGAAATATGTGGATGGGGGAATCGGAGCAGTTTTTTTTTTTTTTTTGTTCAGCCCACTGGTTGACAAAATAGAAAAAACAGACCCACCTATGACTAGCTTGAATTTCCGGATCCCCTTTCTTTAAGGTTACCTAATCAGGGTACAATCGCTCAGTGCCACCGCTGTAGCTTGTATCAACCACCAAGGGGGTACCAGGAATCAGGCAGTCTTAATGGAAGTAAGTTTTTGATCATCTCATGGGCGGAGTAGCACTCTCCAATCCTCTCTGCTGTTCATACCCAATGAGTGGACAATTTGAAGGCAGATTGCCTCATCTGCCAAAACCTTGGATTAAAGGCAAATGGGCCCTTAATCCTCACATATTAAATTTTCTATATCAGAAATAGGGAACTCCAGATGTGAGCATTCTGGTCTCTAGGTTCCACAACAAATTACCCCTGTTTGTAGCCCGGACCAAATATCCACTGTCACTGGCATTGATTGCTCCGGTAATTCTCTGGATCCCATTTTTGTTCATGTATGCCTGCAGTGGAAATTCTGCCTTGACTGCTCTGCAAAATGAAGTAAGAGAGGAGACCGGTGATTCTCATTGCACTAAACTAGCCCAGAAGAACCCGGACCTATAGACCTACTCAAACATCTAGGAGACAATTCCTGGTCTCTTCCAAACAGGCCAGATCTTTTGGGTCCCTTTTTCCATCTTGCATCTTAGTCACTGGCTTTATGAACATGGCTGTCAAAGCCCTAGTCTTAAGGGACAGAGGTGTCTCTGACGTTTTCATTCCCACATTACTCAAAAGCCACTTCCAGAAAAATGTACTATCGTACCTGGAAATCCTTCTTTGCCTGTTGTGAACATAGGCGCTTTTCTATGCAATACTATATTCCTAAAAACATCGCAGCACCCGGCTGCAGTACTCCTCTGAAGAGCCCTCACCCTTGATGCAAGCAATGGGAGGGGTTGAACAAATATGCAAATGATTTGATAGGTAGATAGAGTAGGTGTTCCTAGGCAGGCTGCACTTACATTTCATACTTGCAGCTCCCCCAAAGAGTGATACACAGTTGGATTACTTTTCAGTAGGCGTTTGAAAGGCAGTAAGGAGGCATTATATTGCCTCCTCACTGCCTGATTTAACCCTGTAACAGCGCACTACCACACTGCAATTGTGTGCTGGTCTTCAGTTTACACCATCTCCAATTTCTACCAGGTGGATGTCCAAGCTTCTCTGGATGCAGTTTTCAGCTGCAAGGTTCTTGCAACAGCATTTTAATTGGGTCGGTTGACACTTGTCATTGATGGGCCTTTTTTGCTGAGTTCTGGTTACCTTGTTGTTGTCCACCCTTCTCATTCATTGCTTAGGCACATTCCAGGGTCTGTGAATTTTCAGCCTATGTCCTATACTGTAGGATTAGGATGAGAAGAATTTTGACTTACCTTAAATTCCATATCTTAGAGTACAGTACATGGCACAGGACACCCTTTCTTTCGTTCCTCTGTTAATAACCATTGCTTGATAAAAAACTGAGGGCTCATGGTGTGGGGTAGGGTTATAGGGCATAACCCAGGGTAGGCATATCCTGCAAAGCTTTGCAAGTGCCTAATCACCTGGAGGTACCAGCCTGTAACCCAGGGACTTTGAATAGCCAGCCTGTGTCCTTTACTGTACTACGAGATATGGAATTGACAGGCAAGTCAAAATTCCTATTTTGTAAAGCTCCTTGTTTTACTTTTTCTATTTCTGTTCTCATTTAGAAACCTAAGCCAGCCTCTGTAGACACTAATGCCAAGCTGACACGCTCCCTGCCTTGCCAAGTGTATGTCAACCCTGGAGAAAACCTGTAAGTAATGTGATTGTACTAACCTTTTTCTACATTAATAATACAGTGTTTCCCTCCAGCAAGCTGATATCTAGTTTGAGGGAGTTTTTGTTTGAGCATATTGAAATTCCCTCATTATTTGAGACTCCTCCATGAAGTAAGATAGAGAGTTGCTACCTCCTGCAAGTCCAGTGTTTTCTTGGCAGAGAGAGCTACAATTTGCTTAAAGCACCAGCAGTTGGTGAAAAGTACCGTTGACATTCAAATATAAAAAAAAAGGTTTCTTTCTCGTCCATTGAGGGACAGAGGAAGTCTTTAACTTTCAGGTTACACTGCTGCCTATAGGAGGATTGGATACTGGCAAATAAAAATGTAGGCCAGCCCAGGATAATGCCTCCCATACCAGCATGTCTCAGTTTTTTGCTAGGGTCCTAGGAGGATAGAATCTTTTTTTTTTTTTTTTTTTTCTAGCTCTAACCTATTTTTTGCTAGCACTTTTTGATTATTTTCCTCCTATAAGTAATATTCTCTACATTGCTGCTAGAGCTTGTTTCTCTGATTGCAGCTCCTCAGCCTAACTTTTTGGGTACAGCACCTGGATCCTGCTGGACTGGATGTTGGGAAAACTGTCTCCGCTCTTGCCCTGTTTCCAAAGACCCATATAGTAAGTAGGGCAGTCAGAATGATGAACCAGTAGCAACCTAGTTTACGTAGGTTACTGGGTGCCTTTAAATATTCTGTTCTCATCATTTTCTACTGCAAAAGGGGTTAACGGAGGTCTCCAGGTATTCAGAAACTTTTTAAAATGTGCAGGCATACTGTGAGTTAAGTCCAATGAAGTGCATGCCACCCTCTGGACTTCTCTTTATTGCTTACATCTGATAATTGTTTTGCACTCCTGGAGGATACATGTGGAGGCTATGAGAGGATAGTAGCAGCTATTTCTGCTCCTCCCCTCTGCTGCCCATTCACAGAAGCTTTTGTATCTTGTGAATGAGTTCACATAATACAAAGGTTTCTGTGATTGATTGATTGGGGGGGTGGGCATAGTAGCTGAATAGACTGTAATGTTGGAGACCTGACCATCCAGCATAGCTCCAGAAGCTATATTTATGGAGCACAATAAACATGTCAGATGTAAATTAAAAGCATAAGTCCTATGAGGTGACATGCACCTCGTTGGACTTTAACTCATAGTACGCCTGCACTTTTTACAAACTAGCTGAATTCCTGGAGTTCAACATTAACAGTGAGGGATTGAGCAGTGATGTCAGTCCTTTTCACCATACATCTTTGAGGAAGGTCCTAGTGTCTATCCCATCATTACTGGTCTGTGTTTGTTTCAGTGGATCCTCTGTCCTTTGTGAGTTTTTTACTACATTCTTCACTCATAAATATTTTGATATTTGTGTGAAAATTGGGGAATGTTGCGGTCAGGATTTTCTACTTTCTCACCTTTATTTAACTTCGTTAATTTGCCAAGCGTGGGTTAAGCACAATATTGGATCACAGAGTTTTACTGCAGTCTTGCAAGACTTTATCACCCAAATCACCCAGTTATTTGCTGACTCTGACTGCAGAGTCTGGAAGCTCTCTCCACGTCTGGCCCGCAGATTCTATGTCTGAATTAACAGCAGCTTCAGCCATAGGATGCCTTCTAAATCTAAGTTGCTACAAGCCTGCCTTATAATAGTTACAATCTACTATTATTAGAGGATCAGCCTATTGCTTCTATGAGTGCTGTTTCCAGTCTTGGGTTCCTTTAAAGCTGCTAAGGCCATAAAGACTTTCCATTTCCCACATGCTTTTCCAACTCTTTTTGTGCATAGATTGGAAACACCCTGATAAGCTGGTTGTTACCCACAGCTTTGACCGTGTATCTTATTGGGGGAGGAGTTTGTGCCAAGCGGTCCGTTCTCACTGTGGATCCAGCAGTATCCCGTCTTAACATTGAGCTTACTATTCCAGTAGAGGATGTGTCTGTCTTTAAAAATCCCAACTGATAAGCAGATAGAAGACCTTTCCAGAACTATTTCCTCACTGGCAGATCTTATTCCCCTTATCCTGGCTGTGACTTTTTTTGTCAGACTTTATCTGAAAGATCCTAATCTCCAAAAAAGATTTTAACAATCAGCGCTGCTGCAGTCAATCCCTTTTTTATTGAATGCATGAAGCAAAGGCTGTAACCTTCAGTTTCAGTTGTGATAGTTTGCTGAAAGCGCCTGTCTTCTCTTCCACTTGGGTCTCATGTCGAGCACTGTCATGCATAGGCATTTTGGTTGAAATGCTTGACTGTGGAGCCCATGTATAACAAGGGTTTGATCCGCATGATCTGACAGAGAGGAGGTCTCTTCAGACTGATTTGATACTATTATTAAGGATGCTACTGGTAGCAAGAGAACACTCCTTACCCAGCAGAACAATACGAAGAAACAAACTGCATTGTTTTCTACCTCTCAAACTGGTGATATGAAAAGGAATTTCTTTTCTCCCAACTTCCTCATCAAGACCCTCCAAGCTTGGCTTCTAGTCCACCTGCAAGGTCTGGCACACAGTCTGCCAAATCCTCAGAAAAACCTTCTGCATGAAGTTATGCCTCCTACTTTTCAGAGTGGGGGGGATTGGAAGGGGTTGTTAATGTTTGCAGACACTTGGACAACTTGCATCTCCAGCGTTTGGGTCCCAGAGGTCGTATCCAATGGCTCCGGAGTTTTTTTCATTGCTCTCGTCTCCATTTTTTACCTCCAATCTTCTTTTGTCACCTTACAGATTAGCAGATCTCCTTTGATACCTCCTTGATCTTGTGAACCAATCCATCATTGCCCCAGCTCCTGTGATAGAATAGTTCCAGGGGTATTACGTTAACTTGTTCACTGTTCCCATCTCCAAAAAGTGTCATCTGCCCCATCTTCAATCTCAAAGCTCTGAAAGTGTTCATTCAAGCCCACAAATTCTACATAGAACCCACAAAATCTGTCATCACCCCCCTTCACCAGGGAGACTTTTTAGCTTCTGTGGACATCAAGGATGTGTGCCTGCATGCCCCCCTCTTTCCAATGCATTAACATTTCCTGTTTTTTTGTGGGACCCCTCACTATCAGTTTGTGGCTCTGCCCTACAGTCTGTTATCTGCACCTTGGGTGTTCACCAAGGTGCTGGCCCATGTATTAGCCCCGCTGTGTTCTTGTGGTATCCCCATTTTGGGATACTTCTATGACTTCCTGTTATGGTAATGGTCAGTTTGAACTCTCTGTTGAACAACGTGGCTTAGACTGTGCAGACATTACAGTGGTTCTGTTAGATCTTGAACCCTTAGAACTCAGTCCTGAAACTGACTCATTGTTTTCTAGTGTTGGGTTCTAGTCCTGGACACTCCTCAGGCCAGAGTTTTTCATCAACAGAAGAAACGTCAGACTCTTAAGAATCAAGCTTTCCAATTCAGGAGTTATCCAACTCTTTTGCTAGAGAGTCTTGGGCATAATGGTAGCCTCCTTCAAAACCATTCCATTTATCCAGTTTTCACTCCAGATGTCTACAATGCAACACTTGTTTGTCACGAAGGACCTTGTCACTGTCTTGGTGGCTCAGAAATCTGGATCTAGAATCAGGGAAATGTTTCCTTCCTGCCTTTTTTGGAGGATCCTTGTGATGGTTAGCAGCCTGTCCAACTTGGGAGGAGTCCTAGGCACCCTGTCTGTGTAGAGAAATTGACTTCGGAAGAGTTTTGTCTCCCAATTACCATTCTGGAGCTTTGGGTGATTTGGTTTTGCAGCATTGGACTAATGCTTCTGGAAGGTGCTCTGATCCAGTTTCAGTTCAGGCCACGGCTATGGCATTCATAAACCAACAGGAAAAAACTAGAATGAAGGTGGATCCTGTCCTTGGCCTTGTCCACAGTGTTCATCTCTGGCATGGACATTTGGCAGGCAGATTTCCAATGCTGGCAGCTCCTGGACCTGAGAGAGTGGTCTCTATACCCAGAGGAGTTCTAGGACCTGTTTTCATGTGGGGGGGCCCAGGATGTGTACCTCCTTGTCCAGTTTTTTGTTGAACCTCAAGACAAGTTTGTCTTCGTGTACAGGGCTTTTCTTACTGAAGCAGTGGATGCTCTGGTGGCTCTGTGGGATAAGTACATCCTGATCCTATACTTTTTCCTCCTCTGAAATGACTTCGTCTGCTTCACATGATCAAAATTAAGGGAATTTTTATGATCCTACTGCTCTGGACTGGCCTAGACAGATTTGAGAAACTTATTTGGTAAGATTCCTGGTGGGTACTTCATGGGCTTCACCAGATTGTCAGGATCTGTTTGTCTCAAGAACTGATTTACCTTTCTGCTGCACTGCTACTGGCTTTAACATTACCATTATTGAAGCCCAGATTCTGAGAGACAGGGGCATCTCTGAATCGGTGATTCCTACAATGCTAAAAGTTGGGAAGGCTACTTCCCACAAGATCCATCACTGAACGTGAAAGACATACTTCACTGGTATAAGTCTTGGGGCTTCCACCCTAGGTGTTTCTCCATGGGATGAATCCTCTTTCCCTCAGTTGAGTATAAACCAGAGTTTGGGTGTCAGCACTCTTAAGGGCCAGGTTTCTGCTATCTCTCTCTGTTTGAGACCAGTGGCCTCTTAATTAAGAATTTTTACAAGAGGTCTCTTATGTAGTGTTCCTTTTGACTCCCTGCGATATTTATTATGGTTCTCTCTACGCTTTAGAAAATTCAGATTTAACCCATTAGAGACATTATTACTATTTCTACTCTCACCCAGAAGGTGTTGTTCCTTATATCGGTCACCGCTGCAAGGCTAGTGTTTGTACTGGTTGCTTTACCCTGCAGGGAGCCATTTATTCTTTTACATAGAGCTAAGGTGGTGATGAGGCCCATGACTTCTTTCTTGACTAAGGTAGTTTCTGCCTTTTTCCTCAACCAGGATATCGTTCTTTCATGTCTGTCTCAAGTTCATAAAAATAAAATTTCCATCTATTGTTTGTATGTGTTCAGACTGTAAGAGTCTATCAAGCAACTCTTCTTTTAGAAAGACGGATTCCCCTTTGTTATACTGGGTGGTCCAAGTAAAGGTGTGAAGAACAAAGTCCTCTGAAACCTTTCCAAACTTTCAAAGAAGAAAAGAATTCCGTCAGAATGGTGCAGTGACATGAAGGCGCTGCAGTGAAAGCTGAATGTGTTGTTGCTGAAAACCACTATTGTGCTTCTCCATCCCCCTGTGATCAATATACATTGACAAGATCAAAAGACTTTAAAAAGAATGCCGTCAGGCAGCACCTAAAACTGGCCATACATGGATCGAAAGTCAGCTGGTTCAGCAGGGCATGACTGAATTTCGATCCATGTATGGGCACCCTGGTTGTACAGAGGTGAACTATCGATCAACTTCGACACAACCGCCCTGTCAGATTTTTCCTAAATGATCAGTACGCCAGCTGTAGCCAGCAACACTGATTATTGTGTTCTAACGGCAGAATCTTACGGGAAAACAACATACTTTTTTTTTTTTTTTTTTTTTTTTTTTGGTTCAACCCGCTAGTTGAACAAAAAAAAAAATTTATAATTTATGGCCAGTCTAATGTTTAAAACATCATGGTTAGATATCCTTTCTGAAGCAATATCAGAGTCTGAAACTCATCAAAGGCATGCATATAAAAAATAAAGACTAATGGTGCAGTATTTAACAAAATTTCCAGAGAAGAAAGTCCCAACAAATCAATGCAGTAAAAGGAAAGTGTTCCAGTCAAGTCTGAATGTGTTGTTGCTAAAAACACCACTGTGTTTCTCCACTACCTGCGAACAGTATGCACTTACCAGACCAAAAGACCTCGGGAGGCAAGAAGTCAGACAGCATTTAGTGTTTAAAGAATCATAATGGGATATCTTCTCTGAAGTACCAAGGATATTGTTAGCAACCAAAAATCATCAAAAGTAAACAGGTAGCAAAATACCTAAAAGTGTAGTGTTAACCACTTGCCCTCCAGAGGATTTAGCCCCCCCTTTCTGACAGGCCATTTTTTGCATTACGGCACTGACAATTGCGCGGTCATGCAATGCCACACCCACGAATTGCGCTTTCTTTCGGTGGTATTTAATCGCCTGTGCGTTTTTTTTTTTTTAATTTTTTTTTATTTTGTGTGCTATAAGCAAAAAAAATGCCGACCAATTTTGAGAGAAAAAAAAACAATATTTTGGACTTTTTGCTATTAAACATGTCCAGTAAAAAAATTTCAAAAAATCAAATTTCCTCATAAATTTACTTTGCTAAAAGAAATCCCAATACGTGTAAATTAATTGGTTTACGTGAAAGTTATAGCGTTTACAAATGGCGGCATAGATACTGGGATTTTTTTTTTTCTTTTTACTAGTAATGGCGGCGATCAGCGACTTATAGTGGGACTGCGGCAGACATTCTGACACTGGGGGGGGGGACTGACTTGGTGTCACTGACATCTCCAGTGACACCAATACAGTGATCAGTGCTAAAAAACAGCACTGACACTATACTAATAGTGGGCCGGAAGGGGTTCACATGAGGAGCGATCAAAGTGTTAGCTGTGTGCTGGGAGTGTTTTTTACTAGGGGGCGGTGTCATTGTGCTTCACTGTAATCACACCTCTTTGGATGGCTGTGCTGTGTGTCGAAGCTGACAGGGAGGAGAACTATTCGTAAACAAGAGTTCTCCTCCCCGTTGGAGATCCTCGGAAATCACCGGGCACTGGCAAGTAATCACCAGCCGGGACGCGGTGATTGACAGCCGAGGCCGCAAATGGTGGCGCAGGTTGGACTCGTGCACACACCTCACTATCTGGAAATCAAATCACGTATATATACATGATTTTGCGCACCCATGCCACCCTGTAGCAGTATTTCTGCTATGAGGCGGCCGGGAAGCAGTTAAAGTGCAACACAGCACTATGATAAACATCAAGTAAAACAACATCCAATGCGAATCCACCGTGTCACCTGTAGCACACCAGCTGAACACCACCAGGACACCTGGCAGTCATTTGAATAGAAGTGATGCGCTACAATCACGACCTGCATGTTTCCTCATGTTTGACTTCTTCATGAACCCGATTCCCTCTTTGTGTGTCCTGAAGACCCAAGGAAGGGTCATGCAGTGTCTAAATGTACTATTTCTACATGGACTCATCAGCTAATTTCTTAAGCTTAAGGTCTAAACAAAAGCGTACCACTGTTCTCACTGACAGCTCATTCTACCAGGAGTGTTGGTGCTTCCTTGCCTGTTCTAGGGTACATCATAGGACACAGAGTTCCCACTCCTCTTCCTTTTGGATACTGGCTTTTTTTTTTTTAGCAAGCTATGAACAACATTCAACTGAAGATAGCAGCATAACCCTATCACAATGGATATGAAGATATAATGTCCTGTGTTGTACTACAAGAAAAGGTTTTTACAGGTAAATCAAAAATTCAGTTTTCTCCTGTGTTCTTTGAGGGTCTCGGCTCTCTACCATCTTGGCTTCTCCATTTTCGCTGGCTTGTTGCCACAGTTGCATAGTTGGGTGTAATGAGAAGGTGGTTTCCTTCCTACACTCTTTTTGCTGGTTGCGATTATTGAGCTACACAGCCAAGTATAAGAGGTAGAGTCTAGACAAAAACGGTTTTATTACCAACCTATTTTGTAATAACCATTTCATAAACATTATTGCAACTTAATAAATCAGGGCTTAGATGTTCTTTGTGTGTTTGTTAATATCAGATGACTTATTTAAAAGCTGGAGAACCTCAGACTTTAGATTTTGCTAATTAATATGAAAAAATGTTTCTCTTTATTTGCAGGAAAACCGATCAGTGGCCTCAAAAGTTAATAATGCAGCTGATCCCACAACAGTTGCTGGTATGTCACATGGTTCAGTGCACATATGACGCAGTTTTTTTTTTTTTTAATCCTGTGCCTACATCCCAAAATTAAGGGCTCATGTACACCATACAGCAGGGGTTAAAATTTCGAGTCCAGACCTACTAGCCGGTCATAAAACTTACTCGCCACCAGTTGCCCCACCCAACCTTACCCACGTACTGAGTAATGTATATACCAGCTCCCCTGTACTCCATTATAGTGATATGACCTGTATACAGTAATCATAGTAATGTATATCCCAGCTCCCCTGTACTCCATTATAGTGATATGACATGTATACAGTAATGATTACTATACAGTAATCATTACTGTATACATGTCATATCACTATAATGGAGTACAGGGGAGCTGGGATATACATGCCATCACTATAATGATGTACAGGGGAGCTCGGATATACATTACTGAGTAATGTATATCCCAGCTCCCCTGTACTCCATTATAGTGATAGGACATGTTGTATACAGTACTTACTGTCCCCCCGAGTCCCCTGCGGCGGTGGAGAGGGTGTCTCCTCTCAGCGGAGGAGAGCGGACCTCTCTTGCACTTGTCCCCTCGGCGGTGGTGCCGCAGAAGCCGGAGACCTGGAGTTGTAAACCGGAACTCGGCTTCACAATGAGGCTTGGAGTTCAGGTGCAGTCGCTCCAAGCTTCATCTGCGCTCACCGCTTGCAGCCGCTCGCCACAGAGGAATTTCTCCTCGCATTTGACGAGTGGGCGAGCGGCTTTTTCAAGCCCTGCAGCAGTACATGCATAAAAACTGATGGGAAAAACTATGAAGATTTAACTTGCAGAGACATGAATTGACATCAGTTTTCATGCGTGTTTCAGTGAGTTTTACACATGTTGCAGATTCCTGCATGATAATAATTGTGGTGTGAAAGGGCAGAGTCGTTTTAGCAAGAGGACAAACTAAAAAAATGTGCACGTTTTAGGAGCAGTAACACTATTTTTAAAAAAGGAAAAAGGTGTTTTTTTTTTTTGTTTGTTTTTTTTTAATTTTGTTGCATTTTACCTTGTCTAAGCTTTATGAAGAAAAATAATCGCTTCAAGACAAAATCATGAAAAGAAAACCGTATGTGCATTACCTTGTTATTTTAACCGCTTCCTGACCGGTCGTTATATATAAACGGCCGGACGGTGGCACTGCAAGCTTTTGTATCTGATTTTTCTCGTGCGAAAGCAGTAAACTAAAATCATTACTTCTGTTCGTGTATGAGTTTGTCCCTTCGAAATTTTTGCTTGGAGAGTCTGAATCGGATGTTGAAAGTTGTGTACATCATGTTATACGAAAATTGAATGATCGTGTCTTGTAATGATTTTTTCTTCTGATTTTCTCATAGTGTGTTCCCCCACTTTAGGTCCAAAATTTCTATTATCTTATCTACCTGTTTTATGATGAGTAAATGAATCCTTTATTCTGTTGTCCAAAACTCTGGAAGCAGCAGTGTCTGGCAGCTGAATATCGGAGCAGAAGTTCAGAACAGATAGATGGCCTGTAGGTCTAGTATGTAGTGAAGCTGTAGCATTCACAGCATCCCTCAAATAAGGTGGTATTCTTGTTCCTGCAGGTAGATAGTGACAGTGCAGATCTAAAGGAAAGACAGTAAAGAAAAGAAAAATCTTCCAATGAAAAAGCAAATAGCCAGAAAATTTGGAATGTGGTGTGGCCATTATTAATCCCAGTACAGTCCTGAAAGGATATTTTAAAGGCACCGAGTTGCATTGAAGGGAAAACAAAACTTTATAAAAACAGGCACCCCCTCCTTATTGTGTTTGATATTGGTAATAATAATAAGATACAGATTTTGCATGTAGAACACTTATTACACACTTTATTTTCAGACTACCTTAGGACCGTTATTCAGAAATTCTCGAATGGTTCAGTTCCATTTTACTAATAAGGATCTGGAGTCATTGAAGGGTCTATATCGCATCATGGGCAGTGGCTTTGTAAGTTACCACTTTGTTCTTATTGTGTTTATTGCATTTGTATTGTTGTAGGGTTTTTTTTTTTTTCACTGTTATTACATCCTTGGACACAGATTTGTTTCTAAAAATCCAGGCTTCTGAAATACATGTGCCCCCACAGTAAAGTAGATGTCTACAGCAGTTAAGGCATATGCAGAAGCAAGATATGGGATTAATCATTTGAATTCTTATGAACTGGTAGTTTGCCCTAAGCTGCCTCTGCACTCCAGTGACCTGGCAATATTAACCACTTACCTACCGGATATTTTTACCCCCTTTCCTGCCCAGGCCAATTTTAAGCTTTCATTGCTGTCGCACTTTGACAATTGCGTGGTCATGCAACACTGTACAAACAAAATTTTTATCACTTTTTTGGAGACAGCGCTTTCTTTTGGTGGTATTTAATTACCACTGGGTTTATTTTTGGCTAAACAAATAAAAAAGGCTGAAAATTTTGAAGAAAAAAAAGTTTTTTCTTAGGTTTTGTTATACAATTTTTGTAAATAAGTAATTTTTCTCCTTCACGGATGTGCGCTAATAAGGCTGCACTGATAGGTGGCACTGACTGGCTCTGATAGGTGGCACTGATAGGTGGCCAGTCGACACACATCCACCACCTCCTGCGCTCAGGGACTCATACCAGAGAAAGGTCAATAGAATACAATGATAATGTTCATCCAACACTGATCAAAGGTTATGCATCTCTAACAAGAAGCTGGGGAAGTTTGATATAGACTATAGTAGAGAACAAAAAGAAAAGAGCGCACCAACCTAGCGCATTACCTCAGTAAACCATAAACAGGCAGGCCTTGCGATAGAGCAACACTATGTTTAGGGGTGGCTTAGGTCTTTGTGACTAGCTCTGAGGAAGAAGGAACCCCCCTTTCAAAACGTGTCATCTTGACCAAGAGTATATCTCCCTTCTGGATGGAACTCACACGTGTCTTATAACCCTGTGTTGGTTTTGGATGTTATATGCTTTTTTTACTTCTACTCTTGTGAGTATAATTTATCTATAAATTCATGAACTGTTTACTGAGGTAATGCGCAAGGTTGGTGTGCTCTTTTCTTTCGTTCTCTACTACTGATAGGTGGTACTGTCTGGCACTGATTGGTGACAATGACAGGCGGCACTGTCTGGCACTGGCAGGTGGCACTGATGGGCACTGGCAGGCAGCACTGATGGCAGGCAGCTCTGATGGCCACTGATATGTGGCACTGATATGTGGTATTGATGGGCACTGACAGGTGGCAATGATGGGCTACATTGATCATCAGGGCACTGATCAGTGTAGATGTCCACTCTGAGGAATAACGCTTACCGGCTCTCTTCTCCTCACGCACTGTCAGCGTGAGGAGAGGACTGGCAATTTCCTGTTTACATGCGATCAGCTGTGATTGGACACAGCTGATCACATGATAGTCTGTGTCATCGGCTCTGTACTGCGATCGGTGATCCGCTGTGTCTGAGCCCGGCCCTGGGAGCTCATGCGCAGCTAGAGTGGGAGGACGTCCTATGACATCCTCCCAGGACGAGAGAGCCACTGCCCGTCCGTCATTTCCTTATATGGCGGGCAGGAGTCGGTTAAAGTAGTATTCAGGGTTTTTGCACACCTTAATGTGGAACTTTAGGTAAAAAGTTAAAAAAGGGCGAGCAGGCATGAATGTTAATGCAGAAGAGAATTGCTTTGTCTCTTCTGCATTAAACTGCCTGAACTACCTTGTATGCGTGGGGGTGTTATTATCCCCAAGCGGCCAGCAATCAAGACCTGGAAGCCGGCTCCCCGAAGATATCCGCATCCAGATGGGGAGCTCCAGGATGCTGTATCCGTGGATCCAAGGTGAGTATAGTTTTAAATAATTGGTTTGGGCTAAAGTGGCCCAAAAAAACTTTCTATCACTAAGTTATATGGCCACTTTGTTGTAATATACTTTTATATAGCTCCATACAGTAAGCAACAATGTGTTTTGGCAACAATATGGACAACTTCCTGGCTGCTGTGGGAATTGAGCGTCAGACTGAATGTTTCTACAGCATCCAGAAGAAGCCTTGTATTTTTGTTACTGAATACAAGACTTCTGATTGGCCACCTTAGCTAATCAGAGAAAGCCTTGTATTCATTTCTAAAATTACAAGACTTCTGAATGGTTGAAAAGCATAAGCATTCAGCCCAACTCTTTTCAAGCAAAACTTTACCATAATAATTTGAAAGCAATTAATGTTCTTTATCAAAAGCTCATACATTCCACATTAATAATTATGCTATTAAAATTAGTGTGTACTGTAAATTGGAAGCTGCCATTTTGCTGGAGCCCAGAGGAGTCACTTCCTTGTTGGAATATCTCCCTCTCTCTTAATTTGGGTATACTCTGGTAGTTTTTTTCATTCAACCAGTGGGCTGAACAAAAAAAAAACTCAGATTCCTGCATCAACACAATGATGAGTGATGCAGCTATCTCTCTCACTGTTCTAATGTATTCTTACAGGTGGACTCCAGTCCCCTTTCCTGCCCAAACAGAATTCACTGATCAGTGCCTGCAGCCATTGTTTGGGACAGCTTGGCAGAAAACTATTTATAGTGCATTGAAACCTGGAAATCCACTTTAAAGTTTAGAAAGATGAAATAATCTTGATGTATTTGATAACTCTAGTAATGAACTGCTCTTATTTGTTCACTTTTAGTTCTAGCAAATTTATCATTGAAATTATTTTGTTATGCAGAGGCCTGTTTGTGTCCGGAGAGGCCCATATCTCACCTGATGTGGCTATCACTTAAAGATAGGCCAACTGTCTTCTGCCTATTCCTGTCATTCTCCCTTGGAATGTGGATAGACTAACAAGGGAACACAATTTTAAATCCCCACACAATCCCTTTGCACCGCTCTTGGGAAATCCAGACTTCACCCAGGGCCTTGCCTCCCGAGCCTTTGAATGGTGGACCAATAAAGGATTAATACGTATTGCAGATCTATGCGACTCTAGGGGACTGCTGTCAAAGCAAGTATTGAAGGAAAAGTACCAGATTCCAGAGGCTGAAAGTTCTTGTTATATCCAAATATCTCATTATTTTAATACTCTAAAGAGTACATCGGATCTTGGGACTATGACACCTATGGACTACCTGTGTAATAAATATTGTAAGTTAAAGGACTTCATAGCTGAAATATATTCTATCCTGACCTCTCTGAATATGAAACCGTTTTATATGCATCAGTGGGAAATATGTTAATAAGATGGCCCACTCTGCATCGGAGACACTCATAAATACCTAATAATTGTAGCTAATTTTAAAATTCTTTTACGATGGTATATGGTTCCAACTAGGCTCAGGGATGTTGAATTCCTATCGGCCGCCACCCAGGACATGTAGTTCCGGGTGCTGGGCAGGTATGTTTCTCTTTTTTTTTTTTTTTTCTTTTAGCCCTGCTGCAGGCAAGCATTCGGGTGGAAGCATTTGGGTGGCAACGCTGCCGCCAATTGCTTACACACAGTGCCAGTCTCTTAGCCAGCCCCCCCCCCCCCCCGTGTGAGGTTTCCCGGGCTCTACTTGCCCATCTGCAGGCCCGGGACCGGCTCACTCACCATAGTTACAGTGGGGCAAAAAAGTATTTAGTCAGCCACCAATTGTGCAAGTTCTCCCACTTAAAAAGATGAGAGAGGCCTGTAATTGGCATCATAGGTAGACCTCAACTATAAGAGACAAAATGAGAAAACAAATCCAGACAATCACATTGGCTGATTTGGAAAGAATTTATTTGCAAATTATGGTGGAAAATAAGTATTTGGTCAATATCAAAAGTTTATCTCAATACTTTGTTATATATCCTTTGTTGGCAATGACAGAGGACAAATATTTCCTGTAAGTCTTCACAAGGTTGGCACACACTGTTGCTGGTATGTTGGCCCATTCCTCCATGCAGATCTCCTCTAGAGCAGTGATGTTTTGGGGCTGTCGCTGGGCAACACGGGCTTTCAACTCCCTCCAAAGGTTTTCTATGGGGTTGAGATCTGGAGACTGGCTAGGCCACTCCAGGACCTTGAAATGTTTCTTACAAAGCCACTCCTTCGTTGCCGGGCGGTATATTTGGGATCATTATCATGTTGGAAGACCCAGCCACGTTTCATCTTCGATGCCCTTGCTGATGGAAGGAGGTTTGCACTCAAAATCTAACGATACATGGCCCCATTCATTCTGTCCTGTACATGGATCAGTCGTCCTGGTCCCTTTGCGGAGAAACATCCCCAAAGTATGATGTTGCCACCCCCATGCTTCACAGTAGGTACGGTGTTCTTTGGATGCAACTCAGCATTCTCTCTCCTCCAAACACGACGAGTTGTGTTTCTACCAAACAGTTCTATTTTGGTTTCATCTGACCATATGACATTCTCCCAATCCTCTTCTGGATCATCCAAATGCTCTCTAGCAAACTTCAGACGGGCCCGGACATGTACTGGCTTAAGCAGGGGGACACGTCTCGCACTGCAGGATCTGAGTCCCTGGCGGCGTAGTGTGTTACTGATGGTAGCCTTTGTTACGTTGGTCCCAGCTCTCTGCAGGTCATTCACAAGGTCCCCCCGTGTGGTCCTGGGATTTTTTCTCACCGTTCTTGTGATCATTTTGACCCCACGGGGTGAGATCTTGCGTGGAGCCCCAGATCGAGGGAGATTATCAGTGGTCTTGTATGTCTTCCATTTTCTAATTATTGCGCCCACAGTTGATTTGTTCACACCAAGCTGCTTGCCTATTGCAGATTCAGTCTTCCCAGCCTGGTGCAGGTCTACAATTTTGTTTCTGGTTTCCTTCGACAGCTCTTTGGTCTTCACCATAGTGGAGTTTGGAGTGTGACTGTTTGAGGTTGTGGACAGGTGTCTTTTATAATGATAACAAGTTCAAACAGGTGCCATTGATACAGGTAATAAGTGCAGGACAGAGGAGCCTCTTAAAGAAGAAGGTACAGGTCTGTGAGAGCCAGAAATCTTG